ACGCTTTACAAGAGATCAGATAGACTGTACCCGAACTCATGCAGTCACCGTCTCTACCATTGAGACAAATTATGCAATTTTGCGTTGCACATAGACGGTCGTATAGGTGGTTATGAACTAGCTGGCGCCTTAGTAACCAGGCCCACAGGTACCCCAACGATAACTCTAGCGACAACAAGGTCCCGTTTATACTGCCATTCATTTCAAATGAAGTAAGTGCAGCTATAAAACGCTGTTTAAGAAGGGCCAGTCTAAAAAATTCGGTAACGATAATCGAAATACCACCGAGTAATTTAAGGCGCCAGCTAGTTCGTAACCACCTATACGACCGTCTATGTGCAACGCAAAATTGCATAATTTGTCCCAATGGTAGAGACGGTGACTGCATGAGTTCGGGTACAGTCTATCTGATCTCTTGTAAAGTGTGCGGGGACGAATACGTTGACGAAACGGGTAGACCACTCTGCGTACGTATAAAAGAGCACATAGTCGGCGCCAGCTAGTTCATAACCACCTATACGACCGTCTATGTGCAACGCAAAATTGCATAATTTGTCTCAATGGTAGAGACGGTGACTGCATGAGTTCGGGTACAGTCTATCTGATCTCTTGTAAAGCGTACGGGGACGAATACGTTGACGAAACGGGTAGACCACTCTGCGTACGTATAAAAGAGCACATAGTCGGCAAACGTAAGCCAAGTACTCCACTAGGTACGCATAGCACGCAAAAACATAACGGAGAAGATTTTGAAGTAAGGGTTACGATCCTCGCGCAAGAATCGAGAACACAGGCGCGCAAAACTCTAGAGGCACTCTGGATTAATTCCAAGAATCCGAAAATGAACCGCAGAGAGGAATGCCTCGTTATCACGCGCGATATTGGACAGTATATAAACCTGTTATTCTGATGGGAGGAGCACATTACGCTTCCATGTGAATTTGGTGCGGTCGGTCTTCACGCGACATACTCAGTGGAAGACCCATAGAAAGCGGTGAGTGTGCAGAGCTATGCTAAATATGATTCAAATCTTGGTTTAGCGTTTTCTCTGTTTGGTTATGGAGGTGTTTGGCCGAATGGATTGCTGTCAAGTTGACCCTTCCAGGCTCTGAGGAAGGCGAAATCCGCCGAAACGTCAGCTTGTGCGTAAATAAAGAAATAAAATAGCACCTCGTGCTTGCTGAACAGAAGTAGAAAGATATATTCATTCAATGCCGAGGTTAATAGAAAGTCGGACTTGGGAGTTACATTCGACTTAGTTAAGCATCGTTTGGAGGGGATTGAATGCATATCTGACCTTTACAATGACTCGCGGTGGCTTACCAATGTATCGAGCCAGTGTTGTTATCCTCTCAGACAAGTCTGGTACCAATTTGCCGACCTCGGGGGATGGAAGGCTCGGTGGGCCATGGGTGCGGGAATCAATTTCAAGTGTGTGTTGCAAGGCGCCTCCGACCACTGCACCGCACGCGCCCGAAAAGTTCTCTATCTGTCCAAACGATCTTCTATGAGCACAAGGTACAAAAAATTTTTGTACAACATTGTTGCAATTTCTTGTTATTTATGCTTTAGCATATCTGTGTTCAGAACTAAAATTGTTAAAAACATTTAGAACAGAATATAATTTTCAAATTGCAATCCAAACGCGGCCACACGAATCGACATAATAAATCTGTATACATGTCCCTACAAACTGCCCTTTTTTTTAGCTGACGCGACATTGGCATAGATGTTATATCGTTGTTGTTGTTGTTGTCCTTGTTCAATAGCTAACGTATCGGCGAGTGCGCCTTCTTCAGTGCCTTGCCGTTAGACCACCCGTGTGTTGTTCACGAGGGTTGATGATTGAGACCCACCCATATGGATGTGCATCAAAGGAATGCAAGGTTAGTACAGATATAGTTGATAGGTTAGATCCTCATTGCTGTTATTGTCGTTTTGAGGTCGCTGACGTTTTGACTACTTCGCCTTCTTCAGATCCTTGACGTATTATATGTAACTGTAGCTCCACAATGTTGATGCACATCCCTTTGGGTGGATCTCATTCATCAACCCTCATTAACAACATACGAGTGGTCCAACGGCACAGTGGATGGTCTTCGAAAATTTGTGTGTTTTCACATAATGAATCTTCATCAATACTATGTTGTTCACCAAATTGTGCGGCTACGGTTACATGTGAAACGTCCAGACTCTGAGAAAGGCGAAGTCGCCGAAACGTCACCCATTGAATAACGACAACAGCAACAATAAGAACATCTATAACAACTTCGCCTCAGCTAAAAAAAGGGCAGTTAGTAAGAAAAAAGAAACATATATCCAGATATATCGATTATTTTGCCAAGATTTGTAGAAAGCCGATCTTTTGAGTTATCGACATAATATAGACACACATAGTGCCGATTGGACAAAATTCCTGCGTGTTTATCTTTTTGACGTTTCACCTGTCTCTCAGCTACTTCTATCAATCTTTTGCCATCAGCAGTCACCCGTCAGCGGGATTGATTTGGGGTGCCCAAATCGGCAACGAACCCAGTTAAGCTGAGACCACAGTTAGTTAGTTAATCACAGTTTTAACTTATTATTTGCTGCCTACTCTTTTTAACAGCAGGGTATACATTGTGAAATATAACTTCAATGTTGCTGAGATATTTGCAAAACTCCGGACCGCAGGTGTATGCGGTGGAGAACGAATGCACTATTGTCCTTTCCGGGGAGTAGCGCGTTCACCATCACACCTTTGTTTCACCTGTCTCTCAGCTAGTTCTATCGATTTTTTGCCATCAGCAATCATATATTTTATGTTTCATTGAAGCCGATTCATGAGAAGTCGTGTTACGTTGGCAAAAATGTCTTTATTATAAAAGTTCTTGCTAAACATATTAAAATGTAAAAGACCGGATTTTTTCAGCCGTACGCATTTAAATCAATGCGCGTCGTTTAGAGTGCTTTGAATTAAATGATGTGGCGCATTGAATTAAGGCGCTTCGATTGCGCAATCGTTATCGAGTTCAACTGAACCAGGCGATTGATTGATTCTAGTATGGGCGTTAAATATTTCAACAGTACGATAAAACTAACTTGTCTCCGTTCTAAACCCAGGACGTTAAATAACCGACGGTTATAAGTCTTATATACAGATTGTAAAGCAGTGGTTTGCGTACTATGCATGCATTCTTACTTTGAATTCATCTGCCTTTTGCCGTCCTCAGTCACCTTGTCATCATATGTTCGTCTTCATCAGCGACTTAAGTTAACAGTAACGTAATCAGTCACAATATAACTGACGCAGAAAGAATGCAAAGAAGTGTAGAATATGAACTTATTGGAGGATTTTTCTATGGGATTTTCTCAATTTCACAACGGCAGGGGATTCGAAACACAGATGTTTTTGAGTGTTGTGGTAGAAACAGATACAAGTGAGAATAGAACTTTTCCGAGCTCTTTTGCTGTAACTTTTGGAACCACACGGTAAAACCATATGGTCACTGTTCATCCTTTTAATTATGGATGTTTCTTGTACTTCTGGAGGTAAGGATTCTTCTTCCTGATAAGGTTAGATACATTTGTGTGTACGTCTTCCTCTCACGTTGTTCGTTTTCAATTTCAGGACAGCTTTTTCTCGGCTTTTTTATTTTCCCTGTTCTCAAAGAGATATTAAAGGACTTTAACTTTTTTTAGTTAAAATTCAGTAATATTGTCGTCTCCAAGGCATATTTAGTTTCAAAGGTTGTAATTTACTTTTGTTTCCATTATCTGCTTTGCTAACTCCTTCAGAGTTGTCTAACCTAATTTGTTAAAGCGTAAACCATAGTGAATATCGTAGTTTTCAAATAAACGGTAGTGTTTTCGTTATTGGAGTGTATTTTCTAATCTGCACGAAAACGACGACTGCAGGAAAGGCGAGCATGTCCGTCGGGACAAATAATTTCTATCGCCGTGCTCTACCATCTACGTGTGTGGATTTTGCGTCCGAAGAGGGAAAGCGCTTATTCCTTGAGAGCTTGTTGGAGGGTGAGTTCTTCGCGGCTATTTTGTTTAAACGGGAGAAGTGGGAAGGGCACATAGCGCAGCTTTTGGAAGTGTCTTGCAATACACTCGATGCCTTCGATTCGATCTCGCCTCCTGAGCTCACGAGGCTCTGGATTCCTCCGCGCTCAGAATTTTACTTCTCAGGAAGGTAGCAGTACCGATTCGATATATCGGTAGGCCGCCGAACTCAGTATATAGGCCAGATATGCATTCCTGCCCTTCTAATGATGCATGATGAAGTTTAATGCCCAGTGCATCACTGAGGCGAAGAGCTTTATCTTTATTGTTTTATTTTGCTTTAATCGGGTGCTAAAATAAGTAGTGTTGAATCAATTTCTCCAGAACTTTGCATGGCATTCGAAGGGAGAGTGTGACTGTAAACGGCTTTTGAGAAATTAACTAGAAAAATGTTGCGTGAAGTATTTTGCATCTGTCATGACGTAGTAGAGCAAAGCAGAAAGTAAGGTTTTTTGTTTCAGTTGGTCATGATAATATCTCAAAGAGGAGAGCCGAGGAATCAGCTATAGCACTAAGGGATGGGTCTCTCCAATTGAAATTTTGTAAATGAACGCCTTTTATTTTCCTATTGAGCAACCATTATATTTAGAACGATGATGAAAGGTGTAACTCTTGAAATCAGCTTCATTCTTATTAAAAGCAATGGCTACTTTAGAACAGGGAGGATTGAAATTGATTTGTAGTTCAAACTGGTTTTTCTGAAATCCGGAATGTCATGAGAGCTTTCGCTCTCGTCACAAAATTAGTCCTGAAGACAGCGTCATTTGCCACAAACATCAACATAAGCAGTTTTATTACAAACTCGTGCAAACTGAACAATCTAAACAAATGTATTGATTATTCAAAGTCGGTTTAGTAGGGTAATATGACCAATGGTATTTGAGCACGGGTGATCATGACGTAAATTACTTGGAAAGATTAGATTATTTGAGACGTGCTGAACGAGATAAGGAATGTTGGATCAATATGTAATGGTTTCGCTATGAAGGTCTTTCAGCTTCAATGCGCGCAAACAGATTTGTGCATGTGGCTCAGAGGTCAGAGGAGCTCTACGATAGATAAATGGCCAAGAGTTCGACCTCTGGAAATTTCTGGCAGGTCTGTTCAAAGATTCTAGAGGGAATTACTCTCGGACAACATTCGAGGACGCTCAGGGAGATGACAACATGTTCAAGTTATAACGTACGTAACCCACACGGAACCTGCAACGCCTTTGTTGATGATTTACAAAGTAAATGAAGTGCAAAAATGTTCGGATCCGCTAGAAGAACGATGGAATTTCGGAAACAGAATGCGATCATCCTTTTGAAAAAGTGATTTGCAAAGGATCATGCCATGCCATTTAAAACTGGGCGGACATGGCGTGACATTCGGCCAACTGTATAACAAGCTCTAATGGACTGGTTATCACAAAATGTCAAGGGAACAACTTTACATCCAGTAGTATAGTGCTACAAATTCACCATAAGGTGCCAACGAGAGAGGCATGTGGAGACATTACTAGTCGCTTTCAGTTCAGTTTTTGATCGCCAAGCTGACATTTGGCAGTACAGATATTTTACGAGAGGCGTTATTAGTACGTCGTTTCAAAATGTATGTTTCTTTCCAGGTGATGCAAATATATACTTCAAGCTTGCTTCCCAATTTCGAACGCAAGACGAGCCAGCTTATTGTGGCCTTAGTACGCTAGGTTAGCATCTCATAAGCGCTCTATATTTTTTCTAAAAAAGCTGTCGTGTATATCACACATTTTTATTTATATACATATTTTAGTGTATATAATATAATACTTACTTGGACACTTGGATGGCCCGACTTCACTGGTTGTGCGGGACCCCAGCAAATTTTCCGTCTTTTCGGAGTTTTGCTGCTCAAGTCATTGTAGTTCCCCGGAGTCCCGAGGTCAACCTGGCGAAAGTCTGCACCAGGTCTTCACCACTGCACGCAGTGGCTGGCCTTTGTGGATCAGGAGATTTGCTACCATGCGACTAGTTTCATACTAGGGCGGCGGTGGATCCTGGTACTGGTTTACTCTTAGTTGGGCTTCCTGATGGAAACGCCGGACTCCGTCTCAGCTTGGGAAGTCTTGTCGGGAGACGATTCTCCCTGAAGGTATATCTCAGCCCGATACTCAGGAACACCCAGCCACGATGAGGAGTTAAACCGTTGGGAGGATATAATATAATAATTGTATATAAAATTTTATATTATAAATTTATATTTATAATTGTAATATATATAAATTATATATGTAAATTTTATATTATAATTATAATATATGTATATATATTTTAGTTTGACTTACACACTGTTTTTTGCATTATTTAGCACTTCTGGTTTATAATTACTGTGAGATATGATTTTTGTATGTTTTCGGTTACCCAGGTTTTGCGTAAGTCGACTATCGCATTAAATTCGAAACGCTTTTTTTGTACCTTTTAATAGTACTGTATTTTCAGTAATGGTATTAAACGCCTTAGAAGTCGATCCGGGACGAGTATGGAAAGCGCCGTGGCGATTCTATCATGAGTCTATGCTGGATTGTTGTGTTCCTTTGGAAAATGTTAAAAAGTTAGTGAGAATTTTTTAAAAATTTTGAAATCAACTATACATAGTGTGATTTAGGTCATCTATTATATATATACATATATGCATATATATTTAAATAGAGGCGAATAGCACAGTGGTAGTGGTATCCGTCATCACGAGCATGGTGTTAGTTCGATTCCTCACCGGGCCGACCAAACCTTTCATCCGTCCGAAGTCGGGAAATTGGTATCGGACTTTTCTGGGAATAAAATCGATTTCTACAATCCAATTGGGAACGCTCCAGGCCGGCTATCTGAGGACTCCAGGGAGAATTGCGCGACCGGCACTCTACGACACTCGGGATGAAATGGAAATCCTCAAGCAGCAACCGAAACTAGACGTGAAGGTTGAAGATCTTCGTGGACGGTGGGTGCGAGGAAACGAACCGAATGTGACTTCTCGACTCCGCACAATAGACGTGAATAGAGGTCAAATAAAGTAAAAAGTGTATATATGTATATATATATATATATAAATACGTACACCTACATTTATGCACAGATGCATGTATGCTTGGAAGATTTTATAGCCTTGAATGACTTCGTTCTAGTCATGATTCGCCTTTAATCATAATTTTTTTCCTTCTATATATGAACTGCACTTTTCGGACCGGGATCAACCTAGCACAGTTCGCTTGCCTCGCTACCTGCAATAGACTGCTGTGCGAAGTGAGGTTTGGAGAAGAAGGAGAAGGTGTTTAGTTCTATACGTTTACTTATAGCTCTTTGTATATGGTAAATTTTTTTCATCTCTTATGTCTCCTTAATCGAAGCGTTACATAAGCTCAAACCAAAGTTCAAACTAGCGAGTTTTATTGTTTTCATGCGTCAGTTACGTAAAACGGGGTATCATGGTATTGATCTCCAGTGTACTGTAGAAGTTCATCGCCTCAGTGTGGTCGTTCAAATTGAGGAGATGACGATCATCTAAAGAGCGTTTTAGTAGCGAGACAGATGAAAGGATCGCTGAAGTCTTGTAATAAACATATTGACAAGCGAGAGAACTGCATCCGAATGGCAGAAATTACCTGAAGTGACGGCATAGCAATGCCTTGGATTAGCAGTGAAAATTCTTTCTCAGTCGATAAAATACTAGTCAAACGGAAATAGTGACGAGACTCGACTAACTCCTTGTAAAATGGAGCCAATTCAAATGTTCATATCTTTAAGTGTTTTTAACTACTGTTTATTCGTGGTGGAAAATCACCTATGTACGATATTATGTTAGTTTTCTGTGAAATAACAGGCAGGGATATTTGTCCTTACATGATTCGACACCACATGTTGCTCAAAGTCCAGCACTTCTTGCTTTCGATTCGTTTCTTTAAATTCGTAATCCGCGAGAGAGTTCTGATTTGTGAGTTCCGCTGCTGCTTTAAGATTTTTGATCTGCTTTAAGAATATCGTTGAATATTAGTCGAGTGGGTTCTGCTTGCAGTCCTGTGACTATCATGCTAACGTATCCTCATGTCTTCACCACAGATAGCAGCCAGGATTGAGCCAGTTCGGCAAGTAAGTAATTTTCCGGGATAGGATACATAAGTAATTTTCCGGGATAGGATAGATAAGGATAGGAGACATGAGGTTCTTGAGTGTGGTGGGAATTGCGCTTTGCTTATAATGAACGGTATTCCTCTCACTGTGCTACCCACTCCCTAAAAGGTGTACTTAACACAGCTTCACTTAAAACTTGTGCTATAATCGCTTAATGAGTGACCTTCCGCATAATTTCCTAGATTTCTTATCCGCTCTACGACGCGACATTCGTGTAGCTGTTAGTGGTGATAAAGAAGTTATTGTTGCCAGCTACGATCGATCTCAGTTACAGCAAACGGGAACTGGTGAATTCTCATTCTTACTATTTTTTTTCATAATCTAACACATCTTCGGAAAGAAACATTAATACGATTAGAACGTTGTCGCTTTTATATTCACATCTTTCCTTAGTGTAACAAGGAAATGGGAAAGAGCCATGAAGAAAAAGAGAAGATTTCCAAAGCAAAAAATGGCAAAGTTGTCTTGGCGAACAGTGTAGATGGGAAGGTAAGAGTCTGAGAGACATGGTCAGAGCAGAAAAATAGTTAAGAAAGAGTAATCTTGTAATTTTGCCCGTTTCGAAATGTTTTTTCTTTACTCGCAAAAAGTCTTTAGGCTACTTTAAAATGGAGGTTGCAAAAGAAGTAACTGAACAGTAGTTTGTTTTTTTTAAGGATTATGTACTTAATCGTTTTTAATATCATGCTGACTCGGAATTGGTTCTGTTTAATTGTTTAAGGCCACTTTTCACCTCTGGCTGCATTCCATGCTGCTAGCGATCGTGTGTTGATCATGGATGTAGCACGTTTTAAGTATCCACCGCACTGGGTACAACTTGATCACCTTCAAAAAGCAATGTGCTCTATAGATGTATCTACAAAGAGAACAAGAGGTACGTGCATTTGGAGGGTCTCCATCGTTATGCAGCTCCTTGAGTACAGCGGCAGAAGGAATGCTTGCTTAAGACCTCTACATTTTTAGTAATTTGGTCCATATCAAAGAGTCGTTTTTATCGTCGGAATCTTCAGTAGGATAGAGAAACTCGGTCAAAATGGGTAGAGGATTGGGAAATTTGAAGCGTAAGAATTGAAGCCTTGTTTCCTTTTTGTCTGCAATTTTAGGATGTACGGAAATTAACGTCGCATTCCAACTCGCATTTTCAAAGTGTCTCAGCTGAGAATAAAATTTATTGGTGGAAATAAAAAATTAGACTCTACACGTTTCTCCGGCAGGGTTACTTTTGCCGGTTGCATAAAATTTTGGGCTTTTGGAGGCGAAGTCGTTGAAAGCAATTTCAGCATCCGCGTGGTTTCTGACGCATAGGAAGTTATCTAGGTATTTGAAGAAATGATAGTTGATAAGCGAAAGGTCAGTCGAGTATGTTGAATGAAAAAGAGGTTCTTAGCCCAGCTCCTGCGTCATGTGTTGTCGTGGAGAAGGGTCACTCAATTCGCACGGCGTGCATTCGTCGAGCTTTTTCGCCTTTTATATTTTTTTGATGCTCCGAAACAGTTTAGATTCTTGCGATAAGTTCTTCTTCAAGTTCTGTAACAGTTGTGCATGTATTTGCTTCTACCAAAATTTTTAAGTCATCGTCATCATGAAAAGAAGTGCGCCTGCGATCATCCTAATTCACAATGTCTATTGCGTCATGACAAATTTTTCCCGACAAGCGTTATATTGTGCATTCGTTAACATTTTCCTGCTTCCATACCTCTTCAGTGTTTCGAGCCCTTTGCACTAAATTATGACCGCTTTAATTCACAGAAGTAAGAAATTGTCGAAATCGAAGTTTTGACATTTAAGTTCTAACTTTTAAAATTTGGTAACAAGATATAACTTCAATGATGCTGAGATATTTGGAGAACTCCGGACCGCAGGTGTATGGGGTGGGGAACGAACGCGCTATTGTCTTTTCAGGGGAGTAGCGCGTTCACCACCACACCATGCGGGTCCTTCGTTTCGCCTGTCTCTCAGCTAGTTCTATCGTTCCTTTGCCATCAGCAATCACCCGTCAGCGGGATTGATCTGGGGGCCCAAATCGGTATTGAACCCAATTAAGCTGAGGTCGCAGTTATAATCACCGTATACACCTGCGGTCCGGAGTTTCGCAAATATCTCAGCATCATTGAAGTTATATTTCGCAATGTATACTCTGCCGTTAAAAAGAGTAGGCAGTAATAATAAGTTAAAATTGTTAAAAAGATAATTTATACCATAATTCCAGTAGGAGAAGTGCATAAAATGAGCTTTGTGATGATGGATAATAGTAGAACTTCCTAAAAGTGAAAATACCGTAAACTGTATACAGGAAGAGTGATATTGCAAATCTGACGTTGATTTCTGATCAGCCTGAGACATTTTTCCGTAGATGTTCACTTTTCCCAGAGGAAGAAAACTACTACTGAACATGGGAATCGCATAACTGCATTATTCACATGAGGATTATTCACTCGTAGCAATACACCAGTTAACAATCCCATAAAAATCGTGTGGCAGACATGATTAAATAAGTAAAGGACCTTCCATATGAATGGTTGAGAAACGAATGCTGAGGCGACAGTATCGAGAGCCACAGACTATCTATACCGATGCATTGGTTTCGCTTTATGAAATTAGTTATACTGCTAAAGCCATGTGAAGCTCACAAAATCCTTGATTTGTATTTTTTTCAGCACTTGTTCCTATTATGACGACTTCTAACATTTGAGTGTTCTCGAGTTACAACTACTCAGAAATATTTTAAATATCAATTTTCATTAAACATCGGAAACGATAATAATAATTTTCTACATAATTGAGCTAACACAAGATTAATACAAACTTCTTTTCCTGCTAACGTTTCGTTGCCTTCACCTTTCTCTAAGTCGCACTGATCCCAGTTGGTAATTCATCCACAGCTGGTCGTTGTCGCGATGTGGGTGTTCGTGGTCACATCGAGCCGAATCTAGTGGAGAGAACACCACTCGGACGGGGAGCTCCGCTCATCGGGGCCTTTTTATACAGGATACTGGGGATGTTGTTAATAGCGATTGTCCAGTAATAACAACTTGTTTTTCGCGGGCAATCAATCCTGCAGGTGTTGGTATCAATTGTAAGCTGGCACAGAACATAATAGCAGTATTTCAGAAACCGACTTTCTCTTAACCTCGGTATGGTTAATCAACATGTGTTTAAATTGTTAAGCTTATCGACATTTTGATTAACCATACAGAGGTTAAAGGAAAGTCGGTTTTCGAAATACTGTTATTACATACCGTTATTATTAATACCGTTATTATTACCGTCTCTATGCTAACTGATTATGATACCGACTTTTGTAGGATGGATTGTTCAGGAAAGACAAGTTGTTATCACCGGATAATCACTATTGTCAACATCCAACATCCTGTGTAAAAGAGCGCCGCCGGATAAGTATGCCTCATACGAGTGATACTCCATTGAGGAGGACCCGATTCTACATGAAGGCGAACATTTCTGGACCATCGACTTGGATCATCGGCTCTGATGAAGGCGAAGACGTCGAAACGCTAGCCTAATTAAGGTTTTATAACAACCTTGTGTAGGCTCAACAATTTTAATAGATATTGTCTTTTTTTTGCTGGAATGCAAGTCATCCCATTAAATGCTGTGCTATGTGCTATACATATATTTTTTAGGATACGCTAAACTACAGCTGCGTCAGAATTCACGTCCACTTATCGCATTTTCACTAAAAACCAATCTCTCTTGCAATGATACCACTGTAAGTCATAGTATAGTCTTAGTGTCAGCAACGTACTTTTGTGTTTGCTTGTTCAGTTGAGCTTAAGCCTTAATATTCTCGTTTTGAACGAAATCTAGAAAACAACGGAATGTCGTAGAAAGAAGCTTCATAGAACAGTAGCTAAAAATGAGGTCTAAAGGATTGGAATAAATAAAAAGCGGGCAGTGTGGTAATGTTTAGCATTGAATTCGTGCAATTCAATACTTTTTGTATTGTTACTCAAGGTTATCTATATCCTCATAGAAAATTTTGATAAGAGCCTCCAGGAATTTCATTATTGTTGATTGTCATGAGCTGATAGAAATATTTGTTTCTTGTTTGGCTTCATTACTTTGTCGTTTTTAAATATCACTTTCATTTTTTCCTTTTCTCTCTAAGTGACAGCTATGCTTAGAAGATTGTAATGGGAAAAGATTCCAGTTTGCTACTACTGTTTCTTCCTGGAAGGAGTTCCTATTGTGTGACGTTATTCCGGATGATCAAGAGGAATTACAGGTAGTATCACGCAGTGTCAGAGTTTATTATCTAGGTCATAATGGTCATTTACTAATTAGGCCAAGTTTTGGAAATGTTACTAGTTCGTAAAGAACGCAAGGAGTGCACTGGTTAAAATACAGTGTAGTGATACGCGCACGGTTCCCAGTTGTTCCCAGTTCAACCACACCTCTCCTGTACATGATCATGTCACCCCTCCAAGGATAGTGATGGAGACACTTAATACAACTATCCCAAGATTTCAGTAAAACTCAAGTCTATCAGCACTCAGCAGCACTCATGAATCAAACAAAATCCTCAAGTGGCCCGTGTGGCGCAGTGGCCGGAGGCGCCCTGCAGCACAAACGTGGAATCGGTCTCTGCGCCCATGGCCAACCAAGCTTTCCATCCCTCCGCGGTCGGCAAATTGGTACCAGATTTCTCTGTGAGGATAGGAGCACTGGGTCGATTGCATCGGTAGGCCACTGCGAGTCATTTTAAAGTCCAGATATGCATTCAATCACCTTTAAACGATGCTTAATGAAGTCGAATGCATAGTGCATCCCTCAGGGATTGAACAACGCCGAGGGCTTTATAGTCTTTTTTTTCTTTATAAATATTCAACTTGTAGATGTGCTGCCATAAATTTGACGAATGTTTTGCTCCACATGTTTTATGCTGCAAACAAAGGGATTTTAAAGTGGACCAAGTAAGTTCTCGAAAAAAAAATACTACAGATATAATCACAATCTTAACTCTTTTATTTACTGCCTTTTTCTTCTTAATGGCAGGGTATGTTGCGAAATATAACTCGTATGAAATGCTGAGATATTTGCAAAACTCCTGACCGTAGGCCGATTTGGGTCTCCAAGATCAATCCCGTTGAGGGGTGATTGCTGATGGCAAAGATCGATAGAACTAGCTAAGAGACAGGTGAAACCAAGGACCCGCATGGTGTGGTGGTGAACGCGCTACTCCCCGGAAAAGACAATAGCGCGTTCGTTCCCCACCGCAGACACCTGCGGTCTGGAGTTTTGAAAATATTTCAGCATTGTAGTAGTTATATTTCGCAAATACTCTGCCGTTAAAAAGGATAGGCAGTAAATAAAATGGTCTTAACCATAGTAAATTGTGTTTCAAATTATGTTTCATTATTTAGTTGGTCCAATGGTGGCTAACTTTTGCTTATGGTAATTTAAGAAGCCAGCTTTCTTTTATCTTAGACATGACTAATCATTATTTTCTTAAGTGGTTAAGGGTTAAGCTAATGCGAGATTATGAAACTTTTACTTCGCTAATGGTTCGGCGGCTTCGTCTTCTTGAAAGCTGCGTCGGATTCAAGCCGGTGGTCCATAGCCGTTCAGCTGCGCGTTACGAGTCTTCTTATCTCTTGGAATCGAATTTTCTACAGTGAAACACAACTCGACTGAGGTAACCTGTCTCGGCAGTGTCTTTTTATGCAGAGCCGTTGTAGAGTGGCTAACTTTCCGAGTGAGATTCATTTGTGAGCTGAGCTGTTCCCCATTCGAGAAGATTCCAGTCAATGCGAACATTGCTAGGACAAGCGACAGTGGACAAGACCAACGTTACTCTGAAGAGAGGGAAGGCGCAGAAATGTTAGCCGAATAAAAGTTTCATTACATCGCCGCGGCTACTTAATTAAGAAAATCTTATGTGTGATTTTATGAAACCATATGATAATGCCGAGCGAGCTAATTTTTCTTTAGTTAATTTTTTGAGTACAATTTTTTTTGTCAGACCTGGATCACTTTAGTTACGTTGTTTTTCAGTTTCGTGGATGCTGCCAGTTAACCGAGGCGTTGTCAGAAGCGTCTCAAACAGTTTGCTCGGAGGTGCTACAGACCAGCATAGGCGGTTTATTTGTGAACTGTGCTACCGCAGCACTCATGCTAGCCTGGCCTTATGAGGTTAACCATTTGGTCTCAAACATCATGGTGAGAGAGAGAAGGCACAATACTAAGGTGTTTAACCGTTCGCGAACGGGCATTGGATACAATACAGTATTCCCTATAAATCATTCTGAAGTGTATATAGATACGAACATTTCAAAAACTGACTTTCCTTTATCCTCTATATAACTAATAAACATGTATTCTTTCGTTTATAAGCTAACACGAAATTGATAAATAACTTTATTCGGCGAGCGTTTCGACATCTTCCTCTTCCTCAGCGCCGATGATCCAAGTCGATGTACACAGTCGTTGGGTTATCAATATGGTGTCGTTGTCGTCGGATCGATTCAGATCTTCTTCACTAGAGAATCACTATCAGCCATAACTATCGTGTGTAAAAGAGCATTGCCTAGTGAGATTGCCTCATTCGAGCAGTGCTCCACTGAAGAGGCTCCAGCTCGATGCGACGACGAAAACACCGCATCTAGAGTACGAATCACTGTGAACGTCGACTTGGATCATCGGCTCTGAGGAAGATGAAAACGTCAAAACGTTAGTCTAATGAAATTGCTTATCCACCTTTTGTGAGCTTTTCACTGGAAGAATCATATTAGATATGAATACTTGACTTTGATTAACTACGAAGGTCGATTGTATGAATCGTTTCATGTCGGAAACTATACGAACACCAGTTTAGATAGAATAAGTTTTTGGTATATTTATGCTTCTTTCATCATCTGGTTTTAATGAGATTAGTTTTTCGTGGCTTGAAGAGCAAAATCCGGTAATCAATTTGAAGCTACATCGTTAATGGCATCTCACTTGTTGGGTCAATAAATTTGTAGAAAGCGGCGTACATTGACTAGTGTAACTTCTTTAACTTTATTGTCTTTGTAATTTCTTTTAACCAGTCATACTTTTTAAACTTTGGACTTCAACTAATGTTTTGTTGATTCGTTAAATATTCTTACGGACTTTATGTTCATTATAGCCGAAGTGCTCCGAACGGAGCGATAGACTGGCGACATTGGCAAAGGCGGAAATAAACACTTTCTCACCAGATACCAGGAACGAAATATGTGAGATAACCTGATCTTTGTTTGGAATTTAACATGTTCAGATCGTTCAGGTAGTACGGAAATATTCTCATAGGTATTTCAGCTCTTCTATCGACTCAACTGTTTACATTAATGGAATGCTTTCTACAGTCGTCCTCATTAAAGCAATCGGACCAGATTACGGCAAAGTACTCCTCGCAGAAGACGAATTGCAGTTGCAAGTCAGACGTCAGACAATGATGTCCTGTACTTTGAATTCTGGAAGTTTAATTCTTCACTTTGATTATTGTGATGAATTTGATCTGTTGATAATTGTCGTGGTTACTAGTCGAAATTAGGCCTTCGAGTCAGTTCTCGGCAGCTTATGATCACCAGCTTTGAGTAGAATGCTTAACTTCATAGAAGCTGCCACGCGGGACTTTTTCGTAGTTGTCACAGAGCAATATTTCAAACTTGGGTGATTAAATCGCTTACAACAGTAATAATTTAAGAATAACTAAATACAAACACCGGCACAATACAGGCTGCAATGTGGTATCGCGATCTAGGAGTGAGGGTAAGGCTGGTTAGTAGATTTGCTATAGGTTAGTAAAACAGTACTATGTGCTTCTTCGTATTTTTGTTGAGGAAAGCGAGGTGTCATTATTCTTTATTCACGAATAAGCTGACGTTTCGGCGGATTTCGCCTTCCCCAGAGCCTGGAAAGGTCAAGTTGATAGCAATCTACTCGGCCAGACGCCTCCATAACCAAACAAAGAAACTCTAAACCAAGATTTCAATCACATTGAACACAGCTTTGCACACTCACCGCTTTCTATGAGGTTTCCACTAAGTATGTCGCGTGAAGACCAATCGCACAGAAATCACATGGAAGCATAATGTGCCTCTCCCATCAGAATAGCAGTCTTATATATTATAGCAGTCTTAATAGCGCACAAAAATATCGCTAAGGAACATCAAACAGATCACAATAGGATAGGTAATGTGCAAGAAAATTCAAGGCTAACCGTGTTAGGAGGCATAACTCTCGCCCGTTATTAGAATTGGGGCCGAGTTTCTCACCATCTGAACCCATTTCTAAGATAACTTTGCGTAGAGTCGCATGTGGCTTACATGAACTTCAATATAGATACCGCAAAAAAGCTAGAGATGAAGCGCTAAATAGGTGCGAACAACACCAAGTGTGGGCCCTACCAATAGCACCATTTCAATCGACGTTCTTTAGGCAACAAGAGCCCAATAATAAAGTTGATGTTAATTTTCGGATGTTTGCGAATGAAGCTCTCAAAGTCCTTAATCACTATCGCGCGAAAAGATACAGCTCAAACCTCACTCCAGTGCAAAAACGTGGTATGCGAGAGGTACGAGAGCTGATAAGGTTGAAAACCATAAGACTACCCGTTAGTGATAAAGGCGGAGAGTTTGTCGTAATTCCTCATCAGTTAGATGTCGAGATAACGAAAAAGCATCTCGAAGATGCTTCGCTTTATCACCCATCATCTGAGAAGGAATTTAAAAGTAAATACCAAAAATTGAACCACGAATGGGTCAAAATGGCAAGGGCTGCTGGTTTAAAACTATCAGTTATCTCTCAACTAAAGCTGACTTACCAACATGCCCGTCTTGTACTTGCTTATAAAAACTCATAAGTTAGTAACTGCCACGACCGACTTTCTATTAACCTCGGCATTGATCAAGTGATTTTCTTCGTATTTTTGTTGAGCAAACGTGAGGTGTTAGTATTCTCCGTTCACGATTAAGCTGACGTTTCGGCGGATTTCGCCTTCTTCAGAGCCGCTTTCTATGAGGTTTCCACTAAGTATGTCACGTAGAGACCAACCGCACAGAAATCACGTGGAAGTNGTGATTTTCTTCGTATTTTTGTTGAGCAAACGTGAGGTGTTAGTATTCTCCGTTCACGATTAAGCTGACGTTTCGGCGGATTTCGCCTTCTTCAGAGCCGCTTTCTATGAGGTTTCCACTAAGTATGTCACGTAGAGACCAACCGCACAGAAATCACGTGGAAGTACAATGTGTATAATGTATAATGTATGTATAATGTATAATGTTAGTATCCAGCGATGATCTTGCGTCTACCGATCCATCACTATTTAAGGTTAGTCATTAGCTGCGTAGACGGGCCAACGGACAGGATAAGATGGTTTTAACCCTAATATTTAACCAGTTGTTGAAACACATTCCAGCCCATCTTACGAATACCCAGATGTTTCTGGATCGTCTACGTACTGCGCAGCCCAACAGCGCGTGCGTGATGGAGTCCTTCGACGTTACCGCCCTTTATACAAACGTGTCGAATGACTCCGCAATGCAAACCATATTAGAACTCCTTACACAACACNGTAGACGGGCCAACGGACAGGATAAGATGGTTTTAACCCTAATATTTAACCAGTTGTTGAAACACATTCCAGCCCATCTTACGAATACCCAGATGTTTCTGGATCGTCTACGTACTGCGCAGCCCAACAGCGCGTGCGTGATGGAGTCCTTCGACGTTACCGCCCTTTATACAAACGTGTCGAATGACTCCGCAATGCAAACCATATTAGAACTCCTTACACAACACGAAAGAGAAATAAACATGTATGGCTTCAAGATAGAGCACCTGATGGCACTCTTAAAAGAATGCTTGAGTTGCTCAATGTTCAGATGGTCCGGAAAGTACTACGCTCAAATAAGGGGGTTGGCAATGGGACAACGAATGGCTCCAAGCCCTGCCATTGCATTTGTGTCCAAGGTGGAAGCACCGGTGACTGGTCTCGGGCCGCTACTCTAGGTATGTAGACGACTGCTTTGTCCTTTGCTCAATACAAGAGGAAATGGACAAATGTTTCGAATTGTTAAACGCACAGTCAGAGTGTATCAAGTTCACCCGAGAAAAGCCGAAAGAAAAATGGCTTCCATTTTTGAACGTACAAATTCACCTATCAGAAAATCGCTACATTACAAAGTGGTACCGAAAGCCAAGTAGTAAAAACATCTTGGTTCATTACCTCTCCTCTCACCCCTCTCACACGAAAAGGGCGCTTATAAGAAACATGTTTCGAACAGCAACCAACGTATGCACGGGAAGAAAGCAGAGAGAGGAGTCCCGGAACTTGGCACGGCAAATAGCCATTTCTAATGGCTACTAAACTGTAGCTCAGGATAGGTGTAGAGGAAATCCTAGGCCTCCAAACGACAGCTCTAGCGATAGAAGGGTCCCGTTTACCCTACCCTTCATCTCAAATGATATAAGTACAGCTATAAAACGCTGCTTAAGAAGGGCGGGCTTAGAGAATTCGGTGAGCGTAGTTGAAATACCACCGAGTAATCTTAAGCGCCAGCTAGTTCGTAACCGCCTATATGACCGTCTGTGTGCAACTCCAAATTACATAATTTGCCCCAGTGGTAGAGACGGTGATTGCATGAGCTCGGGTATAGTTTATCTGATCTCCTGTTAGACGTGCGATGACGAATACATTGGCGAAACGGGCAGACCCCTCTGTGTCCGCATAAAAGAACACCTAGCCGGCAGGCATAGACCAAATACCCCGCTAGGCACGCATAGGACCCAGAGACATAACGGGGAGGACTTTGAAATATGTGTCACGATCCTCACACGCGAATCAAAAACACAGGCGCGAAAAACTCTCGAGGCATTCTGGATTAATTCCAGACATCCGAAAATGAACCGCAGGGAAGAATGCCTCATTATCACGCGTGATATAGGGCAGTATATAAGGCTGCTATTCTGATGGGAGGAGCACATTACGCTTCCATGTGAATTTGGTGCGGTCGGTCTTCACGCGACATACTCAGTGGACTCATAGAAAGCGGTGAGTGTGCAGAGCTATGCTAAATATGATTCAAATCTTGGTTTAGCGTTTTCTCTTTTTGGTTATGGAGGTGTTTGGCCGAATGGATTGCTGTCAAGTTGACCTTTCCAGGCTCTGAGGAAGGCGAAATCCGCCGAAACGTCAGCTTATTCGTGAATAAAGAGTAATAACTCCTCGCGTTTGCTCAACAGAAATACGAAGAATTACTTGATCAATGCCGAGGTTAATAGATAGTCGGTCGTGGGAGTACTATGTGCATATAGAATACATTAATAGTGCCACAAGATGAGGCACATTAAGGGATTCGCATAAGGCCGTAATACCTGAATCACAAACAGCAGCACTATAGGGCTACACACTATCCGTAGGCTTGTGAGTATATTGCGATGAGGTTAACGTGGATACACAGCAGAGTTAGCGTGTTTGAAGGCACATTACAGCAAAGCTAATATGCCTCAGTGACCACTCACATTAAGAGTTAACACCTTTGATTAACTACATGGCGCAACACACATGATGAACAAGGAGCGAATACGATACGGATTTACGGGGGCTACTTAAATGTCTTCTGGAGACGTCGATGCTTTGGCACAGGTCTAGAGCTTTTACCGAAAACATTCGTCGACTTCAGCATCCAGCTCCCTCGTGATCAGATCAGATGACTGAGGACAAATTCCCAAACAACTTCATACTCTTTGGTTTATCACACTCTAATGGTTTGGAAAAGAAACAACACACAAAAACTTCGGATTGCTTAAAAAGAGTTTGGATAACAAAGGATGTTTGCGGCAACCAAACTTTCTCACAATCAAGTGAAAACATTACATGCTGCGAGAGCGCAAAGCGATGTGAGGGACCACGAATGTGGTTACCATACGATAAGATGAAAGAATAGTAACTATTCTGGCAATAATTGCTATAATAATTATCTCCATTGATATACGACGTGCTCTCCTTGTAATTCTCCACTTTTCCGCCACCTAAAAAATCAAGCATATAGTAAAATTCTGCCACATCCATAATTGAGAAGAGCGTTATGTCGGGTAACGGAAACGGAAACAATTAGTGATAATGGCATTTTTTTTTCAAGATTAATACGCTTGGATTTCTGCAGTACTATGGGCGCTTAAAAGCGCGAGAAGCTTTTTCAACACTGAGAAGACGAATGGCTGCGGATCCTTGATTCGGATCATCATCTCATAGGAAGACGCAGAAGCCCAGTAAATCTTTTACCTACCTGGTTTTAGCTTAAGAATCCAGGAAGAACAAGACCTATTACACACTCAGCTGCCGGTAGCAGTCACCTACTAAGATTCCTAGCTGGGCCGTCTTTCACATGTCGTAGTGCTCTCAGCACTTCCATTCGTTTGGTTGTCTTGCAAATGTCATCCACTGAGGTAGCCATTTTTGAGGTTGCTGCGGTTTATGCATCCAAAAGTTTACTCAGCTTGTGAGTATAGCCCACATCACTAGGGCCTCGTAAACGAATTTGTTTCTTTATCTTGGTTTGGTCTCTAATCTCATGGATTCACATGAGGGATCTCGGGCCGGTTAGTCGCAAGGGTATGTGGTGCGTCCCCAGGTGGTGGATAGAGGGTTAATCGCCGGCCAAAAGCGACCTTTGTTTTCCATAGGTGCAGGTGGATCGGGGGGATGGAGTCGCTGCTTCTGCTGCGCCGATCTGGGACATACCTTCTGTAATTGCTCGGCGTATTCATGCATGCGTGTGTGCGTGAGTTCTCGCTTTATGCGGATTGTATTCTACGAGTCAATTTGGCCAAAACCCTGCAATCAAGTGACAGGGAAGTATATGGCATGTGGTTAGGAGTCGCGTCCAACAAAAGAACTCCATATGCACTCTGGGAGAGACTGGCAAGCTACCCGTGAGTATGTCCAGCTCCACGTTCAAAGCCCAGCAAGCTATACGTAGGTTTCAAAAATGCTAAACACGCTTGAAAAAACGGGCCTCATTCCCCTAACCCCGAAAGAGCCCCCAATTTCGCAGCGTTGGGTAGGACGAGTACGGAGAGGCTGCTAAAATCTCAAGGCCAATAGAAGCTGCCTGGATTAGAAAGAACTTTGGCGACTATCTATGCCTACAATGAACGTACACTTGCATACGAGTCCTCGATAGAAGATTTGCTCATGCAAGCAAGAAGGATAAGGTATGACGTTATCAGCGTGGCCGAGGCGAGACCACCCCACTCATTCAACGTCGTCCATGATACCGGAGAGGAACTGTTCCTCGGAACATCCGACAGTAGAGGAGTCGGCGGCGTCGGCGTTCTCGTCAACACGAGTTTGTCCATGATAACCGATTCATTCGAGCAACTTGTAAACCGAATCGGACGTTTACGATTGAAAAGATGTAGATCAATACCAACTTGGCAATCTTCGTCGTTTACGCGCCGACATCAAACTATGACGAAGAAGAGGTCGATGCGCTCTATATGGACTTAGAGAAGTTTTACAGAGAAGAGCATACGTTCTTCTAGGTCGGTCACTCTGGCGCCGAGACGGAACAAGAGTGGACCAAGTAGAACGTCTGAAAAACGTCACATTAGGGCCCACGGATTAGAATGGGGCAAACAGGGTGGGCGGCTATCTGAGTTTATCATGGCGACCGAGACCATCCATGGGAACTCGCAATTCGAGAAGCCCCACCCTCAACGCTGCACGTGGGAGTCTCCCAATGCAGTGTACCATAACGAATTAGATCACATCACTAGTAAATAGAATGTTTTGCCTAGCCGATGTTGTTGTTGTCTCAAAATTATACAAGGGATCAGACTATCGCCTCCTTCCTGCAA